TGTTGGTTGCGTTTCTTCTACAGCCAAGCGTTCTTTAGTTAAATGGCTAGCATAGGCCTTTTCCAGCCACTGACCAGCTCGCTTCTCGTCGTCACTTGTTTTGAACCCCTTCTTCTTAAATCTGGGGTCCAATATTGTAGCAAGTACAACAGGTGTCCTGCTTTCATAGGGACTTAGTCTTTTGTCAACTGATCCCTTCATGCAGAGTAATATTTTGTTTCCGCTTTCAGTAACAATTTGAGATTCAACTTCTACTAATTTCGTTTTTATTCCACGAATCAATGGTATTATCAGTGACAATGTTATATAGCTTTCTCCGGAAATTTTTGTTGTAGCTAGATCGAAAGGTTCCAGAATTTGAATTGTTTCTTGAATAATTAGGTATTCGTCAGCATTGACTCCTGGTGGAGCCCGATTACATTCATTAAGTGCGAGAGTTAATTCTGTCTTCATTGTAACAATTCTTTGCAGCATGTGGTATGCACTGTTCCAGCGGGTGGGTACTTCCTGGATCACTTTCAGTTCTGGTTTATTTAATTCACGTTGAATAGCCCGTAATTTATCGCTAGCTAGAGTACTCATCTTGAAAAAAGTCACAATCGATTTACATTTTTTCAGAATCTGGTCTAAGCAGGTCACAGCAAACGAATCACTTACCGTCAGGTTTAGTGTGTGCGCAAAGCAGGGTATATGTCGTATATGCAGTTTGGCTGCGGCGTTAATCATTGTTTGAGCGTTATCAGTCGTTATTGCTTCACATTTTGACCTGATATCCCATTTTGAGAGAGTAGCATCCAACATCTGAAAACAATAATATTGTTTATGTCTGATTATAAAGAAACACTGAATTGGTAGGTATCAAGGCAATAAAATTTAAAAATACTTACACTGGCTATATTTTCTGCGTTATGACTTCCTTCCATCTTCACAACTTCCAATAATGGTGCAATTAATTTTTCGTTGTGAAAGAAATGACAAGTAACTGAAAGGATGCCTTCATTTGCAATTGATGTCCATAAGTCAGTAGTCACACTAACATGTTCTGCTTTCGATAATGCTATGACGAGCTTCTGTTTCACGTTTTCATAATATTCCGGCAGTAATTTCTTTTTTCAATATTGTTGTATCAGGAATTTCATATCTACTATCGAGAGCATTTACAAAATCCCGAAATCCTTCATGTTCTCCTTTTCGCAAAGGTTCCATGTCAACAGCAATCATGCGCACGTATTTGTTATCCAAATTTTGCTTTGTTTTCCCATCTGGATATTTACTACTTCTACCAAAATAATTTTTTAGCGTATTTCTCTTTTTTAGGGCTTGGGCCCATTTTCTCATTTTGCTCAGTGGTATCTACGTCTTGAGTAACAGAAACAGTGGATGACCACATCCATACCTCATTATGTTTTCTCTTCATATGATCGATCAAGTTCGTAGTATTTCCACTTAGTTTAAACTCTCTTTTACACAAAGAACACTTGGCAAACTTTTCATTAGTCTTTTTGAAGTAATCCCACGCACGTGACTTACTACTCATGTTTCATTGTTTAATTCTAAATTGTTTGTTACTCCACTCAACTTCAAACATCCACAATAAAAAACTGACTGACTGACTTTTGTCTTGTAAATGAATGATATACGCACGGTAATTCCCCAACCATAGAGAAGAATCTCAATGTCTACGCCTTTGAATGTATGATATACGCACGGTAATTCCCCTACCATAGAGAACAATCTCAATGTCTATACCTTTGTCACTATAGCCGGGGAATAACTTACATACATGCATACCTCGACTCTAGGGATGTAAAAGTAGTACCCGAGTAAACAATCGATCGATAGTTTTAAAAACTATCGATAGTATCGATAGCCATTTACTATCGATACCATCGATAGTCTATCGATGTTTAACGTACACTACTAACTGATAGGTGTCAGGAACGCATTCTCTGAACGGTCGAACTATACTATTTTTCCACTGCCGCTCTTGAAGTCGTACCACTGAAAAGAGCAACAAGTTTTAAGTACCTGGGGAACTGGGTTACTGAAAATATGTCGGATGATGTTGACATAGAGAGGGAACGTACAGCTCTAGCTGTGAGAGCGAATATGCTCGCCCGTAGATTTGCAGGGTGTTAGAAGTTAAACTCTATTCAGAGCCTATTGTCAGTCCTTTTACACCTGCAGTCTATGGGTTGAGTATAGTTCACGGAGGACGCTTGCAACCCTAAGCGTCCAATATAATAACGACTTCGGGATACTGATGGGGTTGCCTCGGTACTGCAGCGCGTCGGCAATCTTTGCGGAGGCTCACAGACATTGCCGACAGTTTCCCAGTTATCACGCGCAAACGGGTTGCCTTCGCATAGTACCGTATCCGGAATAGCTCTAACAGCCTCCTGGTGGCGATAGGGAGTCGCTATTGCTGTCCTAATTATATGACGTCATCAGCGAGGTAATCAAGAGCGCCGCATTATATGACATCATCAACATGCCTCCTTCAATATTCGAATACCTACCGCATTTTATAAAATGTGGCGCGTAGGGTGCGGCTGAATTTGCGAGGTTTCATATGATTTCATATACCGAATTCTAAAAAGCGGCGCGTACGCTGCGAACACATGTGCGTTCAGCTTAGTGCGTTTTATGTTAATCGTCTATGAATGCTGGTATGTTTAGATGACTAGCGACCCGCCCAAACTGCGCCTCGGTGGGATTCATTAGTTGCATTCTCGCATTATTTAGATTTCAGATACTCGTCAAAGGCCATTTATTTTTACAAAATACAGCGTAGATCACTCCTGGCATTGTTCCCTGCGTAGATTTATTAAAAACTGAAGTTAGAATATTGTATAAACTATAGCTATGGCCCTCTACCTGTTCATGAACTTTCAATACAATTGGCTCAGCCAGCCATTTCGAAGGTAAGTCCCAACAGACAGACAAAAGTTTTAAACATATACAACAACCGCTTCAGCTCATTTAAAGACAGTTATTTCGGTATTACACACTTCAATTTTATTTATATGTTTCCTGTCGACCGATTTCAAACAAAGTTAAGAATTAAGATTATTTGTCTTTATCGGTCACTGATTTAGAAAAAAGGGATGATTTTGCGGAAGCCGAGTTTCAGTGTAATTAAGGTACTTATCTTTTTTTTTAAACAAGTTTCAAAACTGAGGATTTTAATGATTGTGTCATTGTAACCGCTGAATGAAACAAGTGTGGTTTCAATTGTTTACTTATTTGTAACATTACAATTATTTTAATTACAGCAACATCATTGACATTCAGTTCACCAACTTAGCTAACCCATACTAGTCTATGCATTTGTAATCTCTCACATTCTCACAATGGTATATTAAATAAGGATTGATCTTGCAACAAATTAGGCCCAAGTAATACATAATAAACATCCATCACATGATCAGAAATAAATAAAATTACTTAGTTTTAAAACATATTTGACACAGTTATATCAGTTATCTTTTCATTTTAACATCCGGAGCCCAGCTGCTATCAAACTATTTGATAACATGCACATGTCAAAATAAAAATCACAAGTTACATTACAATAAAATTTGTTCTTAATGCTTAGAAATTATTTATTGCAATCCACAATGAAGAAGATATCTACTAATTTTTAGTTTTTAAGCATACATTTGCACTTACACAAAATATAATAGTCATAAAGGCGTTTGGAATTTATATAATTTGTAGTGCAATTAAAGATTGTGATAGTTAACAAGAGGAGTTAGGTTTAGGTTTCACGATCGTTACAGGCATTTATCACAACCTCCTATGTAAGCAGCATTCGGGCCCTAAGGTCTTAAGAAGTTTATGGTCACACTTAACAATCTACATAATATATTATGGCATACATAGTAGATGTATTAAAATTAAATAATTAAAATCGATTGTACTACACCCAGTATGATGGCAGTGTGTGATGACAGGTCTCACTTCAACAGTCAGAAGAAAAGTAAATGCATATAAAATGAATTCTATCGCCATTTTAAATAATCACATCACTTATTTACGACAACTTAGTAAATGACACACATACATTTGGTCAATAACAGGCAAAAATATGCCATGGTGCGGCCATGAGAACCATTTTTACCATGAGAACTGTTTTTACTACTTTAGACTAAACAAGTCAGTGCCGACTGAAATGTGTGTGACATGTCAGTGGACACTGAGTCATCTAAGTAAACACAAAAATTAGTGGTTGTTGTATATTAAGGTTATGTTGCTCAATAACATGTAATAATCGCAATAAACTGACAGACTATTGTCTGAGTGTAACTCTCCAATATGGATTAATATTGATTTACACTGAGTCACCTTTTAGTGGCAATATAGTATAATGATTACATGTATGATCAAAATTGCTCTAAAATCAGTGTTTTTAGATAAGGTGTATGAGGGGAAATCACATCAACTTCGTTCTATTTGTTGTCAGCACTATTTAATCGGTGCTGCAGATTTGCAATCGGTTTATACCAATATATTAACATAAGTAGTTAGGTATGTAGGTATTGCCATTGATATGTTTAGTTTATTATAACACAGTGATATTAGCTTTTGAACAGTAGTTTTTTTTTGTATATTAAATATTTGAGGATAGCTTAAAAGTTTCATATCTTCAACCAGAGTACCTACCGATAAAATATGGCAATAATTGGCATTGTCATTGACCAAACGTAATGGTTTTATTGAAAGACATGTATAAGAATCACTGACTGGTTTTAGGGTAATCGTATTCTGTAGTTTTGTATTGTTATATCTTGTTTGACCAAGCACTTCACATTGCGTATATTATACACTTGAAACATACTAAAATTCGTTCACTGTTTTAAGTTTACTTTTCCAATCGTGGTACAAAAAACTCGTTTTTAATTTCACTGTTTCAATTTTAGTACAGCTGCTCAAATGATCCAATATACGGTCGTTTGCTCTAGTACATAGTTTAAATAACACAAGATACACGTTTTTGGTCACGGTTTCCGGCGGCGTCGTCCCTTGCGGTAACCCTTGCCGTACCAGCCCGCGTCGTCGGTGAGCGGCGCGCCGCACGAGTCGGGGCAACAGGCGCACAGGTAGCGGCGGCCGCGCACCACGCGGTACACGCGCGGCGCGCCCGCGTCCGGCGGCGGCCCGTACCACAGGCAGCGGCGCGCCGCGAAGTGCCGCGCGCACCAGGCGCACGCACCCGCCAGGATGGTGTGCAGCCCGGGGTACAGCGAGGCGCGGCACGCCAGCACCGCACGCCGCGTGAACATGGCCGCCAGCGCCGCACACTCGTCGGCCTCCTGCTGCCGCTGCCCCTGCTGCCCCGGCCCCCGCTCACTGCTCCACTCCGCAACAGGCAACTGCACTTTACAGGCGCCTCTATACTCCGTAGCTTCCAGGCGCCCTGCTACCATACTTCTAAACTGCCCTTTAATCTCACTTTTCAATTCACTACAATCTCTCCAGTTTCTAACGGGCAACTGCACTTTACACCTCCTATCTACACTGGGCACTTGCGGCGAGTACGGCACTACACTTTTACACGACACTTTCACTTCGGTTTTTAAAACACTGGAATCTCTCCAGTCCTCAATTGGCAGCTGCACTTTACACTTCTTGTCCACACCGAATTCACCCCTCGTCACACCGTTCGATTCGATCTTAATTGCGCCAACCGTATGAGTGATTTCACTCTTTACGTCTTCGTCCTTAGGTTTTAACTCGAGAAGCTGCCGGAGTTTCGAGCTACAAAGCCAAGCCCCATAGCCGTTAGTCTCACCCTTCTCCTGTTTTACGGTAGACAGATCTCCCAAGATGTTTGGTTTTGTTTCCGGTGCGAATGTTGACCCACACACTAACTGGCCGTTGCAAGCGAGCGGCCGCTGGATGCGAAAACGACGGAGGTCACTGGTGGGAACGGGACGCTGAACGAAAGACGTGGAAGAAGCGGAAGCAAAAGGATATGATAAGGAGGGGACAGAGTGAGAGGGAGCAGGTGGAGGCTCGGGCGGCGGCAGCTCTGAGGGCGCGTGCTCTGCGCGCAGCAAGATGGTTGCCTCGCACGACCGCATGCTCACCTGCATAATGCAAATTTCCCGATTGTCAATTTATTTAAATATTCTAGAATAAATAAATGGCTCTGCCTAAAATTTAACTTATTTTAAAAAATCGTCAGTTTTTGAATTGAAAATATATTGTTTAACACAATAAAATCGAGTTTTTCTGTTTGGAAGGATATATTTCCAATTATAAGAAACATCAAGTTCTAATAAATTTGACAATGACACAAGCTAACAGAGTACGGAAACTGTGGTATAGCACGCGTCACGTAAAAAGAACGCTGGAAGAAAGTGGTGGGAGTGTGTTTGCGCATGGGTACAGTCTCGCACGAAAGTTATGTGCCTATTAATTTATTTTTTAACTAGGCTTTCGCTCGCGGGTCGTGGCTTCGTACCTATATATTTGTTATTCTTATTAGTTATAACATTGAAAAATATATTAGATAAAATATCAATAAAATGAATTAAAAACATGTTTGAATTATGTATTATAGAATGTTTAATCGAAATAAAATTAAAGTAATGTTGAAACTCCTTCCATGAAGTCATCATGCGTGACGTGAAAACCAGATGAGGACGCGGTGTTGGTGCTAGAAGTGGCCATTTCATCGTCGTCGCTGTCGTCACTCGAGCTTCCATCCTCATCTGAGTCGGAATCATGATCCCCTATGTGGATAGCAAATGTTTCTGTCATCATGTCCACCACATGATCGCTTTTACAGTAATCAGCCTCTATTTCTTTTACCTTCGTGCATAGCTTCCCCCATTCTGTTGCTCCCATTAAATTTACTTTTTCATGAATCAACTCAGTTATACGTGTCAGGTTCCAAGTTACATTTTTACAGGCAACATAACTTTTTATTTGGGACCAGGCCATTTCAATAGGATTCAGGTCCGGGTTATATGGGGGCAAACGAAGTACAGAATGTCCTGCTTCGTTCAAAATAGCATCGATATTAAATTTCTTAAATTTATCTTTGCATTTTTTTATTAAGTTGTACAACTCCGGCTTTAGCATGGTCTCTTCAAATTCAATACCTTTTTGACGAAGCCAGGTTTGCATGTCTGCTTTCTTTGAATTGGACGTTGGTGCAGCATCGAGTTGTTTATTGTGGTACGATGCATTATCGACTACCACGACTGAATTAGGCGGTAAATTTGGTATCAGTTGAGTATGGAGCCACCGCTCGTAATTTTCAGAATTCATATTGTCATGGTAGTCGCCGCTTTTTGTACCGGCTTTAAACGTCAGTAAAACATTCGGCACAAAACCTGCATCGCCACCCGCATGCACTATGACTAAGCGGCTACCTTTAGATACAGGTTTTTTAATGCCCTTGGTGGAACCGTCTGTCCAAGCATGGTGAGACGCATGGGAACTATCGACGTATGATTCGTCAGTGTAAATGATAGGTCTTACTTCCTCTATATTTTTTAATCTTTCTCAGATATTCAATTCTTTGAAATCGAATTTGTGACTGCTCAATTAAGATTTTTCTATTGGTTTCCGTTTTTTTCCATTTAAAACCCAAGTTTTTCAATACTCGCCTGAGACTTGCTGCAGATCCTTGGAAATGTATGTCATCCTGTAACTTCCTTTGCAACTTGCCTATGGTAGGCAATTCTTTTTCAGTAACGTGAAAATTATGGATCATTCTTTTTATAACACCCTGGTCAAAGCTGTTAATGTCTGTTATTGGTTTTGTTTTTTTTTCTTTTATTTTTGCCGGGAGTTCGGAAAACAGTAAGAAATTCCGAATCTTTTGAACCCTTTACTATTCGTCTCACTGTCGACTCGGAACATTTTGTTGCCTCTGCGGTCCGTTTCATACATTGTTTTAAATTATTAACTACATTATTATCAGCTTCCCTCTTCATAAAACAGTATACGTCATAAATCATTTTTCTCACTTCTCTATGTAAAACCATTTCGTAATTTAAAACTTTTGTGCGCGATGGTATTTTTAAAAGGAACGTAACGTGGATACTACGCGGGAAGCAAAGCTCAACTGATGAACCAATAGCGCATCGGTAAACATGCGGCGCGTGGCTCACCCGCCCCGCGCCCTACCTCATACCACCAAGTAGACCGATAAATCGCCTATGCGCAGCTTGACCGCCAGCGTTCTTTTTACGTGACGCGTACTATACATGCAAACACAGAGGCACTACTCAGGTTGGATTTAGAATCATTTGGCAGGAATTTATTTATTTGTATGGATCTCCAACAGTTGTACATATTAAATTACTTCTAACACATGCTTTACATCTATAAATTACTATGTACTAGCAATTATAGGAGAACACATCATTCTAAAATAACAGCAGTGTTTATAATTTGCCTATTTTAACCTTTTGAGCGCCAAAGTCGTCTATACGTGACCAGCACCCGCGGGCCCTGAGCGCCAACGACGTCTATAGTTGACAAAAAACCCGGCCCACAAAAAATATGAAATATAGACATTGGAAAATTATTACTGGTATTTTAATTCTACACCCCTCAAAAAAAGAATAACCCAGCAACATGTGAGTATAAAAAACAAGTCTCCTAGAGCCAAAAGTACTAAGAAACATTGAACTAAAAAAAATGGATTTTTATCTAAGCAAATACTATGTCCAGCACGCCAAAGTCGTCTATGTTTGACCGCTAGTGTTGTAATGCGTTAGGCATAAATTTATTGAAAACTATTAAAAATTAAGCTCAAACGTGTTTTTTTTTTCTATTATTTATTGATATTTAAATAAAACAAAAGGTTAGAAATATAAAACTATAATTAGCTACATGAATAAAAAAAATTTATCATATTATCTTCGCATAATAAATCTAATATCTCAACTCTGGCGCATCCTTAGCGCGACATCGAAAATCAGTTCACTGGGCGCCGTGGTCAAGTATAGACGACACGCTGATGACGTCATAAGCGATTAGCGGGAAAATTAGTGCAGTGCAACATGAACGATTCCTTAGAACACATTCGAATTTTGGAAAGCGTCGACGATGATGAATTTTCGGAATCTGAAAAGATTTAAATATAATAAGTTCGATACAAAATGAAACTGTTTCCCGGGCGACTCTTGTGAGCACATTTTTATGTTTTTGTTTTCGAGTTTAGAATAACTCATCATGTTCGTTTACTTTTATACTGAAACTAGTAGATATTTTTTCTGTCAAAAAGCGAATGGTAATAATGTTTAGCGAAATAAATATCTTAAACCATATTTCACCATAACCCTTCCGAAAAGTAGGTACCGTGAGTAGACCATAAATCATAAATCAACCTAATGAAAAATCATTAAGGTCCAAAATAGTATATCGACTTTCTACCTTTCGGCATTACAATAGTTTCGAATAGTATTGTGAGTAGACTAAAAATCAATGTAATGGTAAAACATTAAGATCTAAAATAGCGTGTCGACTTAGTACTAAATTGCTCTTTTGTTCTCGGCGGCGACGTTTTTTGTTGCTAACACTTTCGCGTCTTACAGTAATCAAAGGCTTTCTCACACATACAGTCTACAATGATAATAATTACATACATTTTTCTTCATGACAAGTTTTCTCGTGAATTGTATTTTTTTAATCAAAATATTGTATTTTTACAGAGACATGTATTATGACTGGGGTCTTCATCAATTGGACACTTTAGTTGAGAGAGTTGAGTACGATGACAACCATTTTAAATCACTTACACGGTTTGGATATCATGCACTTCATCATTATTTTCCAACGTTGGATCATGCAGAACTGAAATATCTTTATCCTACCTTTCTTGAGCACTGCGAGAAATTTGGAGTTGAATTTCGAACATCCACATATTAAAAATCGTTTATCAGTCATAGTAAGCAATTATTAAGGAAACGCCTCAACAATTTTAAAGAAAGAAAAACTTTGTACGTTAAAGAGATACATTTAACGTACAGAAAACACTTCTGACCATACTCTAATAAATGACTTTGGATGTTATTTTTCGATGACTAATAAATTAGGATTTTGAACTATATACTTCTTACAAGGAAATAATATTATTTTTAAAATATTTTTATTATACGTATTTATAAAGTAAAATACGTATGTTTAAAAAAATTTAAAATTATTCATTAATGGTATTAGGTTTTGACTAGTAGGTCTATTGGTAGCATTTAATTTTTGTGAATTAATAATATAAATTACTATCCTCGATTACGAATCAAAATGCAGATGCGCTCTCACCCGTGAGGACTTAGATCACAGAATACTATTACTCCTATCGGAGAAGAACGACAACTTCATACAAAATTTAAGAAATGCTATATATATAACCACTAGCTCCATCTATCGTCAGCCTCCTGCACTTCTCGTGTGGCGGGAAATTTGAACGTGGTCTTTTTTGGCTTTTTTATTTCAGGTATTTTTGGGTTGCCTATCCCAGCACTAAATAAAAGAACAAAAATTACAAAATTTCTATTTATTTATTCAAAATAAAAATAAAAAAACATACATAACTTAAGACAAAATTTCTCCAGCAGCTTAGTTCTTTCTATAAAGACATTTGATGGGTTTAAACATGAAAAAAAAATCAATATTGATTACAACATTTCAATTGCTTAAGTAAACAATATATATAAGATTTACAATCATGGATGAATTGATAATATGCACAATCACAAATCACAGAATGTCTACAATAACCCAAATATCAATATTTTAATCAAAAACAAGTTAATTAATAAATAAGCTCCTAGACACAAGTGCAAAATTCATAAATATTAATTTTGTTTTGATAATATTTGGTTCTCCATCTATTTTTTTTATAGGGTAAGGGTGACAAACGAGCACACAGTCCACCTGATGGTAAGTGGTTGCTGTGGCCCATAGACATCTGGGCACATCTATCCTTGATTACGAATCAAAATGCAGATGCGTTGTCACCCGTGAGGACTAAGATGGAATGCCTCATTTTTAGTAAAAAGGGTCTCCGGTTCTCTACACTCACCATACAAAATACAGCAGCATTAAGCTACCACTTCACGCCGGTATTCTGTGA